AACTGTAGATTTTTTGGAAATCTTTTTTTCGGTGCTTCCTCGTCAAGGATTTTTGGGATCTTTAAATTAAAAATATTTTTTCAAGGGCAACTATTTTGGACTTTTTAGAAATATTTTTTCAAGGACCAAGGACTCCACTTTTCTTGACCAGTAACTCCTTGTTTCCTGTTTTTCTCTAGGGTTTCGGTTTTTTTAATCTTCGATCCTTGACCAGTCCATAAACATTTTAAGTCCATAAAAATTATTTTTGGTCCCGCATTTTTGAAAAATTCAAGATTTAAAAATCTATGTTTTTTGGTCAGGATATTTTTAAAAATATTTTAAAAATACAAAAAAATAAAAATATTTTAAAAATTCCGCTAATCGATGCCAGAAAATCCTAGAAAATAAATATAAATATCCAAAATTTTTATCTAGAAGTCCTTGAAAAATATGATATAAATCCAATATTTTTAGTCAGAAAGACATTAATTTTTATACCCTACAACACTATGTGTTGGGGGTATTATAAGTTTGATTGGGCCAAAAATTATGTAACACCTCGAAATATTGGTTTCCCACATAGGAAAGTATATATGGATCTTCCTAGCTCGTCGATCTAGCTATGTATGTCCGTCCGTCCGTCTGTCCGTCTGTCCGTCTGTCCATGTTAATTTGTAATCACTCTACAGGTCGCAATTATGGTCCGATCTTCACGAAATTTAGAATGTAGGTGGGGCTTGGACCAGAATAGAACCCTATTGCTTTTGGAGATGATCGCCAAATGTTTAGGGGTTGAAATGGACCAAATACTGAAAAAATGTCGGATTTTGTAGTAGCTATACATGTCGCAATTATAGACCAATCGACGCGAAATTTCGCATGTAGATAGAGTTTAGGGCGGGGAAGAAGCCTACTAATTTGGGTGGTCATCGGATAATATTTAGCGGGTAAAATAGACCATATCTTTTGTGTTGAAAAAAAATCAAAATTTTTCATTAAACCGCGAATATTTTAAATCCTGGCGAAATCAAAAGCCATGACAAGGTTACTCCTGATCTTTACATTTATGTTAACATCCATCAAATCGGATATATAGCAAAATATGTGCGATATATATGTCTATCAAAGAAGATATGCTTGAAAGATCTCTTATATGTCGAGAACGGCTGAACTGATTTCGACAGTTCTCATTAATTCAGAATGGCCTCTTGGCAGGAAAGAAAAAACGCCTAAAAAATCGCATAAAAATATCTCTCTAAAGATGAAAATATTGATTTTGTAAAATTTTCTCATATTTTTTCAATTTTGTCATATTTTTGGCATATTTTCATTTTGAATTATACATTTGGTAATATTTCTACAGCTAACAAAACTAAGTAGTTATGACATCAGTATATCATATACAGATCGCATTTATGGCCCGATCCTTACGAAATTTTGCATGGGGATAAGATGAGGGTCAGAATAGAAGCCTACTCTTTTTGGAGATGATCGCCATATATTTAGGGATTGAAATGGACCAAAAAACTGCAAAATTGTCAGGAGGTCGTAATTATTGCCCGATCCTCATGCACATTTGAAAGGGGGATACCGGACATTGCAAAAGCCAAGCAGTTTTGGATGGCCATCCAAAAATATTCAGTGTGTGAAATAGTTTGCCAACTTTTGTAGGCAAAATACGAAAATGTCCATTCCAGAGACTTTTTCGAGAATTCACAAATACAGGAAAGACTATTTCGTTAACGAATATAGTCAAATGTGTGTATCTCATATAGATGCGTTTCAGTCAAAAACCAATAATAAATGTTAATCTTTTGCCACTTCTAAAAAATTATAGGTCTTTGGGAAATATTGGTTCCAGATCTAGGAAGACCATTTAAGTGCAACATCTACCAATAAATTGGAAATGAGCAAATTAGTTTAAGTTGCTATTATTCGAAAATTAGAGAACGAAACCTGATGGTTTTCTTTTATAATTTGTCACAATATCTTGTGGAATTCTTTCGAGTATCTCGCTTATATAAACTGTATCGTTTATTATAGTGTTGTAGGGTATTCAACGGTCGGCCCCGCTCGACTGTAGCCTTTGCTTACTTGTTTTTTTTTAAATTTGCGACTCCTGGACATGTCCTCGATTTTTTATCCAGAACTCTCTGAAAATATAACTCATCGACATAATCATTTTATACCCAACAAAGTATATATATTCTTGATCAGCGTAAAATTCTAACCATGTCCGCCCGTCTGTTGTAATCACGCTACAGGCTAAACGAATTAAGATAGAAAGCTAAAATTTTGCCCAGATCTCTCTTTTGTCTGCAGGCAGGTCAAGTTCGAAGATGGGCTATGTCGGTCCACGATACAACGAGTTCCATGTGGGTACTTTATACCTCGAAAGAGAATTACCTATATAGGTCCACGATATAATATTGTCCACACATAACAGTATCCCCCGATATTCGGTATTTTGATGATTTTAGCCACATTTTTAAACGGAATTGTCTTAAATTCTATGCAAGGAGTTATTTGTGAGTACTTTATCCCTAGACATAGATTTGTCTATATAGGTCCACAATATCGTTTATCCCCCCATATATCGGCACCTTCCGAGATTTTAACAGAATTGTTAATGGATTTTATTTTTATTTTTTGAAAATGTCCTAATTCGTTCCAAATGGTGGAACGGCCCGGCCGAACTTACTGCTTTTTAACTTGTTTTAATTTTATTAATGAAAGCGAAACATGTCGGAAATAGCATCAAATTTTAGAATAAGTTTTGATTTGTCACCTTTGGCACGAATTATTGCCTTCAAACAGCCAATGAAACTGTCACACGCCGCTCTGTGGTATTTTAGTCCATTCCTGGCGAAACGCTTGCTTGAGGTGATCGACATTTTGGTATTTTTAGTGCCAACCTTGCTTTCCAAAATACTCCAGACACAATAGTCCAACGGATTGGTATCCGATGATTATGGTGGCCATTGTGCGCCGGAAATGAAGCGAGGAACCTCATTTTGTAACCATTCTTGGGTGGCGCGTGCTGAGTGCTATGGTGCTGAGGCCTGTTGGAATGTCCAAGGTGTGCGGCCAAAATGTGGTTGTGGCTTTAATACGCCCTCCAGAATATTTTCGCGGTCGATTAATACGAGCGAAAAGCGACCATCGGCTGTTATGGCGGCCCGCACCATCATTATGGCCGGCGCTTGAGTTCTGGTGGCCAACCGAAGGTGCACATTTTCAGCTGACCTCTTAGGCAAGTAAACACGATCATTTTGTTTGTTTACAAACTGCTGGACAACGAATGTTTTCTCATCGGGGAAAACCAAATTCGGCAGTTCACCACTTTCGGCCAAGCGAAGCAACTCTTTAGCTCTTTTGAGTCTATTTTCTTTCTGTTGCGGTGTAAGTTCTTGCACTTTTTGGAATTTCATGGCTTTACCCCGAGCTCATTTTTCAATATTTGACGAATGGAACATTGCGATATGTTCAGCTCACAAGCCATTTTTCGGCCACTGCGACGCGGGTTTCGATCAAGTCGCTTCTTTACTTTTCGAACCATTTCTGCTGATGTTGCTGTTTTCTTCCGTCCATTTTCTTGACGTGGGGCTATGTATCACGGTAACGAGCGATGGCACGAGACACAAAATATTTATTCACTTTTAAAACCACAAGTGGCTATCCAGCCAAAGATAAAGAAATCACACTATCACGCTTGAATTCCATCACGAATAATTTTTTTCGGGTTTTCCTAAAATGCTTTTGTACGCTTGTAAACAATGAGCTATCACTCGCATAATATTAAAAGCTGAGCTATCCCTGGAATAATTTTAACAGAAATGACAGCAGTGTGAAGTTGTATAGCGGTTCCTCCCTATATTCGGTACTTTAATGATTTTAGCGACATTATTCACCTGAATTATTTCAAATTTGGTATTTGAAGTTTGTAATGGATACTACAGCCTGTGCAGTTCCACGTCTTCATATAGCCCCCATATAACGGTACCTCCCTATATTCCGTATTTTGATGGTATTTCTTAATTGTGTAATTTTTAATATTTTCCAAAGACTTCCAGACTTGTTTTTTAAGGATATTGATTACAACGTCCTCCTGAATAAAAATCGTGGATTGTTAAAATTATTTTTTACAGGATCTTCCTGGACGAAAATGTTAAATTCATACTTTTTTTAAGGAACCCCTGATTGAAATCTCGATTTTTTAAAGAATATTTTTATGATTTAATGGTAAAAAATTGTGAATATTTTTCGAGAGTCCCGCAAAAGAAAATCGTGCTTTTTCGATATTTTATTAAGAATTTTTCTAGAAGTTCGAAAAGAATTATATGTACTACACTCTGCATTAATAGTAAGCTAAAAAAATGAGTTTTTCCTATATTAAACTTTTTTATCCTTGAAAATGGACTATATTGGTTAACGTTTTGGTAGATATTCGGCATTTTGATGATTGGCTCCACATTGAGTGGAGAGTTAACTTTGAATTAAACTCGCTCTTTTCAAACTTTCTCACTTACGAACAATTTTCACTCGCCACAAAAACCTCTATCAACAGAGTTATTTGTGTATCCACCCCAACAAATCCGTTTAGAACTAAAAAAAGAACGTTATGTTCCGATAACACTAACATTCAAATGGACAACATTATCATCTGTAACAAATAGAAATTGAGCATTTTTTTTCAGATCTCTCTCCTTCTCTACACTTTCCGTTTCTGTTGGCTTTTTGGGCTGTCGAAACTTTTTGTCGTTGTCGCCATTGAAGAAGAAGCATTTGTTCGTTTGTAGTAATGCCACAATGAAACAATTATGTTGCACTTTCTTTTTTGCTCTTGTTTAGAAATGTTTTCTTTTTTCCATTTCAAAAAGCTTTAATAGGCTTTTGATTCATGGTGAACAACAAATAAAAAATATTTCATTTCTGAGTTTGGATAAAAGTAATAAAAGTTAAAATTTACAAAGTATTATCCTTCTAATTGCTAAGAATATTTAACATATTTTACTTACTCGGCTTGGCCTTGCCCTTCTTTCCTTTCTTCGGTTTTGGAGGCTGCAAAATAAAAAAAGGTTTAAATTGAAAGATGGCTTATATATAATTATGATAAAGATTTGATTTGTGAACTATTTAAGTAGTTAATTAATTTTGTATTGTTGTTTTTTACTTTATCATATATGTATTCATATTACCCTTAAATTTGAAACACACAATACTTTTTCTTTAAATTCACCCGATTTTTTTTTTCACAAAAACTTGTTCCATTTCCTTTTTGTTGGCATTGCATTTAGTCCACCCTGCCTGCAACTGAAATTTCAAGGCTTCCGCAGAAAACAAGTTATCCTCAATTCTATCATTGCAAAATGTTGGCGTTTTGATCGCTGAGCTGTTGTCATTTTTATTAAATGCAGTACAATTTCTGTCGGATTAAAGTGGTAGTACATTAAATCAGGGCATTCGTACATATGTATGTATGTTTGTTTTTAGTTTTTTTTTTTTTTTTTTTTTGTGGGGGCTGTTCTGCTTTTGTCAAGGTCTTTTGCCAGTTTGGCAATGCCCAAAAAATAAATAAATCCCCATTTTTTCATGGCATAAACGTTTAATGGAATCCGATAACACAATTATGTAGTTGGGACAAACAATTGTATTTTGATATTGGGAATTGTTTCATAGATTTACATATTTTTTTCAAAACTCATGTTATTTATTGTAAGTTGTTAAAAAATCAACCTGTATATAAAAAAGTTGTGAAATAACTAACTGACCGAGAATCAACGTCCAGACGAAACGGCTGAAGAATCTTGAAATTTTGCACAAGGGTTCGTCTTGGTGCATAGCCGTGTCATACGAAAAGTACTAAAATGTACTAAAAACTTAATACTTTGTATTGGACAAACGAAATGAGCCAGAATTCTAAAATTTCGAATGCGGGTCACTATTGGAGTGCAGGATAGATGCACCAAAGGGTTTTTTTTTTTTGAAAATCGGACTTGAAGGTATAAAAATTTCTAAAATGTAAAAAAAGTATAAAATGTAAGAAAAGTACTGTTTAGTACTATATTTGATATTTAGTGAAGAGTTACAGATTAAATTCTGAAAATTCATATATAGATTATCGGTGGTATCTGTGTTTGAGATTTGGCGGTAGTTGGAAATGCGTCCTATATTTGTACAACAGTACCAAATGCTACTGAATTTGGTATTGGATGAAGGTTTTTGCAAATATGTACTATTATGGAAATGTAGTGTACTACATGGAAGTGGTTTTGGAAATGTGTACCATACTTGTATGAAAAGTAGTAATTGGTACTGTATTTGGTATTTAGTGTGGGGATAAGGATGAAATTATTACAATTTGATATTGGGTGAGCAGATAGTGCTTGAAATCTGAAATTTGGTTTTAGGGTCACTGTTAATGTGTATCCTGGACATATAGAGTTGGTTTCGAAAATGTGTACTATAAATTCCCGGAAAGTACTGAATGGTACTGTATTTGGTATTTAGTGAAGGGATACGAATTAAATTCTGAAAATTCATATTTAGATTGCTGATGGTATCTGTGTTTGAGATTTGGCTCTGGTTTGGAAATACAACCTATATTAGTACAAAGTATTAAATGGTACTTAATTTGGCATTTGATTATGGGATAGAGCTGCAATCTTCATATTTGATATTTAGACCTCTGTTGGTATCTGGAATTGAGATATGGAGGTGGTTTTGGAAAGAGCTGAATTCCTGAATTTTGAAATAGATGTCACTGTTGTTGTCTGAGGTAAAGATGTGGTGGTTTTGGAAATGCGTCCTACATTTGTACAAGAAGTACTAAATGGTACTAAATTTGGTATTGGGTGTAGGGATAGTGCTGTAATCCTTACATTTGATATTGAGGTCTTTCTTGGTATCTGGAATTAAGATATGGAGGTGGTTTGGCAAATGCATACTAGAATTATTCGAAATGACGGATGACTATTGTTGTCTAGGATGGAGAGATGTAGATTATTTGGATATGCGAACTAAATATTACTAAAATAGGTACTGTTTAAGGGATAGAGAATTTGATATTGAGGTCACTGTTGGTTTTTAGGGTTTATGTATGGAGACGTTGAACTAGGTTTGGTTTGAAAAATTGGATGTGGGTTCATTTTGCAATGGTTTTACTAATATCCCCCTCGGTACAAATGAAAACGTACGTCCCGAAATTCACTTCATTTGGGCTGATATTACCCATTATTTGCACAATTAACCTGAAATCGGATCAAGGATATATATGGGAGCCATATACAAATCTTAGCAGTACTTCATAAAATTTTGCAAAGGTATTTCCGTGCTCTATAAGATATCCCTTACCACTATGTTCTAGCGTATAAAAACCTAACACGAACTGTTAGAATGAATCTAAAACTTTAAGGTGTGTTTTGCTGACGAAGTAGCGGGCACTTGCTAGTAGGGCATTTAATGAATATTTCAGGTAGTTTAAAACGTGCTATGTTGGAGGGTTCTCAAACTCATTTACAAATTTTGTATACAGCGATGGGTTCCCACGTTAAGTATTATATAAAACTTAATGATAGATTATGTTCAAAAATTCAATAATGAAGACCTCTCCCAGAAGTCATCATCAGTTTTAAACCCACAGATATAAATTGATGGGTATATCTAATTTAGTCGAAATTTTCCCCTTCGTTATATTTTTTATGAAAGTTAGATTATGTTCCATAATTCGCTATATGTAGTTCTCGATCCTTAATGCTTTTTTTATTGTAAGTTTAATTTAATTTCCAAATAAAATCTCCAAAGCCCTTAATTGAAGAAGTACTTTTGTTCGGTAGTTCAACAATCGATACGTTCTTTAAATATAATTATTTAATTTTTCAATCTTAAACATTTTCAAAATTCTTAGCCATTTTTATCAACCGCTATTCTTTCTTAAACGTCCTTTCTTTTTTGTGTGTTTAACTTTTGCCTCTTGATCCGAAGAAGAATGCAATGCATTTTGTGTTTAAACAAATATGGATGATGACGCGGCTTTGAAAACAATTTCTTGCAACAGATGTTGGCTTATTTCATATTTTATGACGGCAAATTATTCAAAATAAAATTCAGGGTGGAATGACAACAACGCCTCTTTTATGCGGAGAGAGAGAGAATGAGAGCGAGTCCTGCAACCAGATTTCTGCGAAAAAATTGAAACGCCAAAAAATAAACGGATGGCATTAACACAGTCCGACACACACAATCGCACCAGCACACTCCTATACACTCAGCGAGATTTAAACATCAAGCGATAAACGTACATAAGTGGAAAAGTGTTTTTATTAAATAAACAGTTGGATACAGATAAATGTTATTGTAATAATCACTGTGGGATGGAAAAAGTCATTTTACTTCGGAGCACACATAATTAATCTTCCAGGAACCCATAAAGTATGAATGATTGATAGATGTAAATATTGAGTTTCGAACTACATATGAGACCTCTAAATGGAATAATTTTCATCAGCGTTTTTATGGTTGTTTCGAATGTAATTTTTTATACCCTCCACCAAAGTATGGAGGGTATATTACGATTGTTATTCCATTTGTAACACGTCGAAATATACATTTTAGACCCCACAAAGTACATAAATTCTTGATCAGCATAAAATTCTATGTCCGTCCGTCTATCCGTCTGTGAAAATCTCTATAGCTTTCGGACGAATTGAAGTAGATTGATAAAATTTTACTCATATGTATATTATGTCTGCAGGACTTTTGGTATTGAAAGTGGGCCATGTAGGTCCACTTTCTAGTATAGCCCCCCATATAATGGTAACTTCCTATTTTCGTATTTTGATGATTTTAGCGACATTATTCACCGGATATGTTTCAAATTTGGTATTTGAAGTTCGTAATAGATACTACAGCCTTAGACAGAAAATTGTCTGTGCAGGTCCACGTCTTCGTATAGCCCTCATAGAACGTTACGTCCCTATATTCGGTATTTTGATGATTATGGCGACATTATTTATTGGAATTGTTTCAAATTTGGTATTTGAAGTTCGTAATAGATACTACAGCCTTAGACAGAAAAATAAAAAAAAAAAAGAAAAAATAACGATATTCGGTATTTTGATGATTTCAGCGACATTATTCACCCGAATTGTTTCAAATTTTGTATTTGAAGTTCGTAACAGATCCTACAGCCTATGACAGAAAATTGTCCGTGCAGGTCCACGTCTTCGTATAGCCCTCATAGAACGGAACCTCCCGGTATTCGGTATTTTGATGATTATGGCGACATTATTCACATTATTTATTTCAAATTTGGCATTTGAAGTTTGTAATGGATGCTACAGCCTAAGACAGAAAATTATCTGTGCAGGTCCACGTCTTTGTATAGCCCCCATATAACGGTACCTCCCGATATTCAGAATTTTGATCATTTTAGCTACATTATTCACCGATTTTTTTTAAGTTTCGCATTTGAATATTGTAATGGCTTATGACAAAATTTACCTATGCAGGTCCATAGTTGTCGTATAGACCCTAATATAACAGCTTACATTCGGTATTTTTAAGATTTTAATAGAATTTTTACGGTTTTTATTGTTTTTGAGAATTGCCAAATTCGTTCCAAATGGTGGAGGGCATCCAAAGTTTTATTACTTGTTTATATTTAATTTCATATTTATATTTCATTTCATTGGTCCGTAGTTTTCTTAATTATCCAGTTTCCACTGTAAGAATTAGCTTACTCTCCGCAAATAAAAAGTTGCACTCGAAAATAACTGTTATTCGCGTTTGGCGCCCAAATCAGAAAAAACGCCGGCATTTTTTCCTCCGTCTATCAACAGTGGTCATCATTTTTATTAGCGACAACATTTTTAAGGCCATCAAATGAATGACAACAACAAATAATGCATTTCGTTTTTTGCTTTCTACTGTCCATATTTGTCATAAATATTTAATACAACAGATTTAATATAAATACATTTACCATCGCCGCCTCATACTCTACAAGCGTCAAGGCAGGAGGACGAGGAAATATGTAAGTGCATGTAGCATAGACCTACCGC